ATTATTTGAAAAAGATTTTATAATATCTTAGAGGAAAATATTCTAAAATGTTATAATTCAGCAAAAAAATTACGGAACATTAGTAATTAATAAAAATTGTTGTATGCAACTCGCTATATAATAAGTTTTACAAGGAAATAAGAGTATATACTAAAGTCGGAGAATATTATTATTATTATTATTTTATAGATTTTCTACATTCATTCAACGCATTTCTGTCTTCAGTCACAAAATCGAAATCAGATATTTGAATATTTTGGAAGTTTAGCGTTTAGTAAAGTAAATAAATACATAAAATGAAATGATAGAATAGATTTTAAGAGATAAAGCATAGTTTAATTTCTATTGTTTCATAAAATAGTTTTTGAAATGAATGAATATTTAAGTAACACGAAACACAAAATTTGCATATTTTATTTATGCAAACTCTTTTATTTAATTCTAAAATAAAAGAGGGTGCCACGTGCTGAATAAATCTGCGTAAAATTAAGAAAACCGATAAAAAAAAAGTTATACAGACGCATTTTTTGCATAAAGAAATAAAACTTATATAGCTATTAATTATATTTATATACTAATAATAACAATTTCAAGACAAACCAAACAAAAACGTAAGAATTAAGCAAAGAGTTTTTTAAGGAACAGTAATATTACCTTGCAACAAAGATGTATCAATTTTTGGAGCATATCATGCTTTTTAAATTTCAAAATTAAATTTTCTATACGTGCAATCTGAACAAACATTTCTATATAAAAACCATGCAATTTAGATCCATTATGTGTGGATCTTTGTCCGTGAGGTTTCGCTGGAATTCCATTTCGTATTTGTCCGTCCTAATTCCTTTACCCACTAGTTGCAATCTTCTAAATTTAGAACATTGCTAATAAAGGTAATAATGTTAGATGAAACATAGTTTCTATTTCCTTTTTAGATAAAGAAGGCAGTTTCTTAGGCGAAAAAACTGGCATTTCAAGTTTGAAAAAGAAATGCTTTTGTACAGAGATTGCTCTATGCTTAAAATAACAAGCATAGCAGAATGAAATTGTCATACGTCACAGAAGGCGTTGCCGAGAAGTCCAATAAGCGCGTTCAAAATCTTTCGCTACAAATTATCTATGTAAAGATAGTTTACATGCAAACTGGAAGTTTTAGCTCTATACAACATTCACGCAATGTTCTTAGACTATTATAGTTGCTGAAACTAAACTAAACTAAACTCAGTGGCACGGCAGCTCATAGAGGGCCAAGGCCTACTGTACCCATCTCAGTTTTCTTGACCTTGGGCACTGGGGTGCAGGAGCAGATGTTCCGGTTAGGTGGTCAGACGAACGCGGAATCTCCAGTGTTTAGTTCCCAAGCATGTTTGGTACTCCTTTATCGACCCACTGAAGTTATGAAAGGCTGAATCAACCTTGCCCGGCCCGAGGATCGAACCCAGGACCTGTGCCACGGGAGCGCGAAGCTCTACCACCCAGTCACTGGGCGTCTATTATAGTTGATATAGGGCGTAAAAATAGAAACGAAAACAAAATATTTACAAGTTTTATTCAACAACATATTTTGTATTAAAACATACTGGCCAAAATTTGACATCTGGAAGATCATAGAAATTTTTTAAATGATAGTGAAATTAAGCAATTTTTTTTTTAAAGAAATAGAATATTTTTGCTTTTTTATAAGGGTATGAGTATTATTAGGATTTGATTTTTTATGTATCCATTTAAAATTATAAGTGGTGGATAAAATTCGTTTACCTCTGATTCATAAAAATAATGCATTTATTGCCTTTGCTACTACTAAGAAATTTTTTTTCTAAAACTACGGAAATATCGTAGTAGTCGGTGAGTACGTAAAAAGTGAAGGTTAGTTAGAAAAATTCAGAATCATTCGTATGGTTCATAACGAAAAAAATTCAGTCTAGTACTGTGGTTCCTATTTTAGGCAGATAGTACTGTTTTTAATGAGTCACAAATTTATTTGAGTTCATTAGCGAAACAATTTGGGACTCGGTTGAGTTAATTTGAGTTCATCAGCGACATGCTGCTGAAAACGTGACATTTCGTATACATATAACCATAATACATTTCTTATACTTTTAACTATAATGCATTTCTTACGCATATAACCTTAACACATTTCGTTTTCATATAACCATAATTCATTTCGTATGCTTATAAGCGTAATGCATTTCTTCTATTTATAATTATAATACATTTTGTATGCACATAACCATAACACATTTCGTTTGCATATAACCATTCCACATTTTGCATACCTATAACCATAATTCATTTTGTATGCTTATAACCATAATACATTTCTTATACTTATAACTATATTTGTATGCATATATCCATAACACATTTCGTTTACATATATATAACTATATATAGTATAACTTGAAGAAAGAAATTTGTATGCTTTACTGAATATGTCAATCCTTAGTGACTTTCAATTTTATTTTACGTCGCCAATAGCCCATTGTGCAGCTCTAGTGCGACGTAAATTAACAACAACAACAACAATTTTATTTTAAATAAAAATAATCTAAAATTATTAATATCAAAAATTGCCTTTTTGAATTGTTTTTATCTTTTTTACTTTCGTTTAGGTAACTGCACCAGAATCTAAACCCCCTGAAGAAAAGATGGGTGAAAAAAATGAAAAAATACCATTGTAAGTAAAAAATTTTATCAAAGTCTGGAAAATTTATTTTGATATAAATAAAAAAGTCATAGCTCATCAATTATGAGACCAACGGTGAGATGATGGCATCTCTGGCTTTGCGACCCAACCACCTTTACTTCATACACAAGCTAGATATTATCCATATTTATTATGTTGTTTCTTAGATATAAACAGGGCTGCCAACTGCTTCGCTTTTTTTCAAAATATTTTATAGAGTGGTAGTCAATTAAAAACTGAAACTTCCAAAACTTTTGATAATTTTTTTTAACATTTCAAAAGTCTCAATACGAGTGGGCTCTTGAATCATTTGTATGAAGTGGCGTGGAAAATAACTTTAAATGAAATTGACAGAATAAAGAATTATACATTAAAATTTAAACTTAGCTACCACGGGAAGAAATTCCCAACTAATGTAGGGATGCCAACTGCTCCGCTCTCTGGAAAAGTTTTAATAAAGTGGTAGCGAACTAAATAATATAACTTGTAAAATAAACATAGTTACGCCTACTTTAAGAAACAGTAACCAAATAATTAATGCTTTTAGGTTGCATGTTATTATGATTTTTGATATTTAGTGGTGGAAAAATTAATTAAAATTATAAATACTAAACTAAAAATAATTTAAATTTCGTTACCGTTAGAAAGTACAATTTTTCAAAGCGGATCAAGTTTGCATCTCTGCTAATGTCGAAAGATTGGCAATCCAATATATAAGATTGATTTTTGTTAACTATTTAAAGTGATAGTATATTATACCACTCTATTTATAATTTATAAGTTTGCTTTCAATAATAATATTGACCACCAGTTTATATACAGAAATAATTTAAATACTTATATAAAATCCTTTAATCATTTAGTGAATTTTGACACATAATTTATAAACGTAAATTAAATTTAGTATACAACTTTAAATATTGTGGGAAACTACTACTTACGAACTGGTATTGGTTTCGAGTAAAACCCTTGTACACCACGATAATGCTTACTTAATTTCTTAAGTTAAATTTTTCTGATACTGAAACTAACTACGCACATTTCCTTTTTACTTTCCCTGCACTCTAACGATATATCATATTAATAATTTTCTTTTGTCGGTATTTAAGCAGGTAATACAGTTTATTTAAAATAATATCTTGATATTATAATTAATACACGTCTCAGTAATTTCGTCAAAATAATTTATGGTTTTGATACTAAAAGTTTAGTTTGTAATGCTCCTTTACTAGAATACTTGTAAATTGATATCAATAATATATTGTATTATGTAAAAAAATTGGTAAATTTTATAATTTAATTTTTTATACTGAAAATGCCATTGTTGCAAGCTTATTTCGTTTAAAATTTCGTCCGGTATTTAAGCAGATATTACAGTTGCTTTATTTAAAATATTATCCTGATATTATAATTAATACACATGTTATAGTCATATCGTCAAAAGAGTAATTTGTCGTTTTGATACTAAAAGTTTAGTTTGTAGAACTCCTTAACTAGTATACACGTAAATTGATATTAATAATATATTTTATTATATAAAAAAACTGGTAAATTTTATAATTTAATTTTTTTAAATTGAAAATGCCATTTTAAAACTGTTTCATTGTTACAAGCTTATTTCGTTTAAAATTTCTCACAAATTATGGGTTTCTCCATAGAACAATTAGTGATCACCATGGAGGGACCTATGAATCTTTAGTATCAAGAGATAATTCAATTATTTATTGTTGCCACGGTAATGCAGCAGATGAATGTTGCCAAAATGGAATATCTAAATCAACCGAAAAAATACCAAAAAAAGAAAGCATATTAGTAAGTAATGAGAGTTTTATTGATAAGTCTCTCTCTGTCACTCTTCATTTTTGTTATTCAAATAATGTAACCATTTGCAGGTAGATTCTCATTGCCACGAAGATAAAGAATTTGGCATTGATAAGATTGCGAGACGAAAATTAGTATTCGCCAGTATTCTTTGCTTATTCTTTATGATTGGTGAAGCTGTAGGTATGTGGTACAGTTTATTATACATGATATTTGCGGAATAATATGTTTAAAATCTGGCATTTTATGGAATATCTAGGCATTTTATAGAATGTCGAAAACTAGCCGGCAAAGTATTAAATTATTAAAAATTATTATATTGATTAAGCATTTTACAGAATGCCAAATGGGCGAATTGCATCATCACCTAAGTATTTACAGTACTGATGGATCCTAAATTCTATAGAATGTAGGCGTTTCATACTATGCATACGATTATTGGTATTTTGATTATTAAGATAACTGTATGATTGGTATTATTATATTGATACCTAATGATGATAACTTTCATTAGAATAGTAACTTAACGATTGGCGAAACTGTTGGTATGTGGTACATTACAATATAAATGACAGGTTCATAAAAATAAGCTGAAAATTGGACATTTCATGGAAAACCCAGGCATCTTACAGAATATTGAAAACTTATCGACTGATTATAAAACAATTAAAAATTATTACATTGATTAAGCTCTTTATAGAATAGCTGATGTTTGTACTTTGATGAAGACACACTTTGCTCCTTTTGCATAGTTTTTAATAGTTTTATACTTTTTCGATCAGTTTATAGATTTCCAAACTGACAATGTGCATGATCATTAAAATGCATGCCGCAGACATTCTGTAAATTGCTAGGTATTTTATGAAACTCATTACCTGTAAAATTAAAGCTTTTTCATGGCAATATTTCCTTTAGACCGGGATAGCCTGGTTGGTTGGGAGTTCGGTTCATGTTCAAGAGGTCTTGTGTTCGATCCCCACAGACTGAAGACTCCCCGTGTAGTTAATGTGGGCTGGTGCGTGTAATATAAGCCGGGTCTTAAAGTCCTCCATGATCCATGTTACCTCTGTGGGTACTAAATTGAAGTTTGATCGTTCTCTGATTTAGGTCAAAATTACAATCTATGGATGAATAAATGGATGTATGATTGGGTCCGTTCCATAAATGTACTGAGACGTGTGCGTAGCTGAGGTCACTTTTTCGGTCATAGGTGGCGCCCCTTAAACTCGCTTGGTTTTACCAAGCAGTCTTGCTGTTTGGCAAGTAGCATTAGAAACAACATCATATTTCATTAATGTTTAAAAATAATGTTTGTATTTCCGAAGAATGAACGTCTCTTATATAATAACCTTATTATGATATTATTTCATACTTGCTGGAGATGATTTTTCTTAATGGTAGCAAAGGTGATAATATAAGAGATTTTGCATAGATTTTTTCTTACGTTAACCGTAGCGCTAACTTTATTTTCTGTCACTGAATAACACTGCTATTTGTGAAAAAATGTTGGTGCCATTGTGAAGCTCAAATAACGTTAGCGGGAACCGTAACGCTATGCAAAAACTCTTTGATAAAATAACTATTCTATATTCTTTTACATTTATATATATATATATATATNTTTAATTTATTTGCGTGCAGCTGAGGTCAGAATAATTTTAAATTTAATATAGAAATCCATGGACTTAAATAAAACTCAGAAATTTTGATACCACTTTAAGTACAAAAAAATCTTCAGTCACATCCTAAATATTAACTATAATAGAGAATAGCCTATTTAAGGTCACCTACTTTAAGCATTAAGATTGAGTCCTAGAATTATAAGTTATTCTGGGTGGTTCACTTTTTTTGAGCACTGCACAATGGATTCTATATAAATGTTAAAATAAAATTTCCACTAGTTATTTTAAGCAAATGCGACAATATTCAGTGTAAAACTTCTGTTTATTTAATCGACGAGTTCCATTAAGATTTTTTTGCTGTCTATCTTGACTTGAAGAAGAGCTTTCTTTTCCAGGTGGTGTTTTAGCAAACAGTTTAGCCATAGCCACAGATGCTGCTCATCTACTTACTGATTTTGCTAGTTTCATGATAAGTTTGATGGAAATATGGGTTGCTTCGAGACCTGCAACTAAACGAATGAGCTTTGGCTGGTACAGAGCAGGTAATCTAAATCAGACTTGTTCCGGCTCAATTTTTTTTTTCAAAATTGAATTATTTTTGAGATGCCAACTGCTCCGGACACGCCAAAATAATTCAAGAAACGGTAAACAACTACAAAGTTAATTTTGCGAATATTTGACTATTTTTGCTTGCTTTTTGAAAGGCATAGTACGTTTTAAGTACTTCAAAGTGGTGAATAATATAAGCCTACGAATTGTTTAAATATAACGGTGGAAAAAAAATCTACTAAATTGAATTTATTAAACCAAGAATCACAATTGATAATCTACCACTTTAAATATACATATTTGCTGTCCGGAGCAAGTTGGCATCAAGATGCACTGCAACAAATTAGAAAAATTAAATCCTTGAGATATGAAGCATTTTTTACAGATTTAAAAAATTCCTAATATAAGTTGGAAAAGATGCAGAGGAAGCATCTGTAAAATCCTTTCATCTTTGCGAACATCCAATCAAGCACAAGTGGAACAAGAAAAGTGTTGTGTATTTAGCTAAAATGTTAAAATTCTTTGTTATGAGATCTTTCCACGTATAATGATACCGTTTCGAAAACAAGTCGGATAGAAAAATATTTTGTGTGTTTTATTTATAATGTTAAAATTCTCAGTTAAACTTTTCTTCCACGAGAACATTCTAAATGTGTATTTAGGTGGTTCACAGGAAGAACAATGTTAAATTACTTTTTAAATACATTTATAGAAAATTTATTAAAAAAAACAACATTGTCCAGGCCGAAACGTTGACTAGTTTATCCTCCATTATGGAAGACCATGTTGTAGAGGAGACTAACTTTTCATTGGAAGAACGCGAAGTTGTGAAGAGGGAGCCTAAACTAACTTATATATTGAAATTACTGAAAATTTTGGATAGTTCTGAAAGTAGCTATTTTTATTAATGAAATCCTCATAACCAAGTATAAAAATTCGCTAGGTTTCAGATTTAATGCAAGGCAATAACTAAACTGCAAATATAGTTACAGATTGTAGTTCAATTGTTTAAAATCAATGCAGTAGCTTAAAAAGAAATATAATGAATGACTCTATGGATACCTGTAAATAATAAATCAAAATTTAACTGGGACTCTGATTGGAAAAGGTTCGCCGCTTCATATCTGCCCGTTGCGCTACTAAAGTTCTTCATTCAAAGAAATATTTTTTAATGTAATTTTTTAATGTAAGACTTTCGAAGAATAATTTAGACTTTAATCAAATGACCTCACTTCATTTTGTTTCACATCAAAATTTCACGCTGCACTTGATTTTATTTTTAGAACTTCAACTAATGTTTTATGGTAAAGAAATTAAGTTTTCACAAATTGTGGAGTTCAATTTTGTTCTCCTGCCTTTAAATACAAAATAAAACAATCATGTAAAATGTACATTGCGCAAAATAAAAAAAAGGCGTACACCAAATTAGCTTTCGATCTTGTGATTATTTTTTTACGCGCTAGTACTGAATATTAATTGTTCAAGGATCTAATATTAAATATACTAATTTAATGCAGACGTTATTTTAAGTTAGGAAATCAGACACAACTTATTTTCTCTGAATTAACGTATATTTGTTTTGAAAGATTTGGGATTCTTATCATTCAAAATATGAGGAGGAGCCGAATTAAAAAAATATGGTTCCAATTATTTAGTATTCAAATTTCGGTCCCCTTAAAGTTATTTATAGTTTTTTAGGTATTTTACAGCTCTTAAACTCTTAAGCTATTTAAAAAAATATGCCCACAATTATATATATCGTTTGTTCGTATAATATTTTTGTGTGCATTTTTTTAATCTCCGAAGTTTTAAATGATAAAATCCAAAATTTATACGGAATCGGTCCACAAATTTTGGCGAAACAAAAATGTAAAAATATACCTCTCAGAGATGGTGAATCACACACGTGGAATTGATGTTAAGGGCAGGACATATTTAATATCTTTCAACTGTTTTCCTGACCAAACTATTGAGAACATATTTTCGAGATTGCGTCTACTCCTTTGTATTTAGGAATCGTAATCTGTTACAAAAAAGTGCATGATTATTTAAATAAAGTACGTTTTTGCGTCTTATTTTGTAACTCAATACCGTCATCACAAACTGATTACCATATCTAACGTTCGCTTTTCAAACGATTAAGGTTGAATCTTTAAACATTTGATTAAAAAAAAATTATTATGGAGTTCTCTTATTCATTTTGAGTACTGTTAGTACATACTTTGCGTGTACAAACATGTTTTGAAAAGATCACAATTCTTCAAATTGAATGACTGTTTTAAAAAATATCTAACTATACTTATACTTATAAAGGTGATTTATTATTTACAGAGGTTATTGGAGCTTTAACATCTGTATTACTCATTTGGGTTGTCACTGGTATTCTTGTATATATGGCAGCTCAGAGAATTATTTATGAAGAATATGAAATCGATGCCAAAGTTATGCTGATTACAGCTGCTGTAGGGGTTGCTGTGAACATAGTGTAAGTCAATTTTATGTTGGGTAGAATTTATAATTGAACATCGTGTTATGTAGCTGACTTTCTCTTTAAAAGAAACTTGCTTTAGTTTTTATTATCATACTAGTATTTTGGTTCGTTGATAGAGCACATTATTGCTTTTTTTTTAAATAAATAATACTGCTGTATGGTTTTTTGAAGTTATTTACAAAGCTTAATAATGAAGTTTTTAAACTTTCTTAATGTAAATTTTTTGTAATATTCCCTCCATGACAACATATTTTTGTAACTTAAAGCTTTCATTCGATGCCAGTACCTATGTTTGACATTGCATGTTTTGTCAATGGGTTAATTTATTTTATTAAACAGCATATTATTTGGTGTTGCTTTCTTTTAATAGTAGGGGAGAATGGGGCCAATTGTAAAATTTTTGACTTAACTATTTTTAACAAACAAAAAATCCAATATATTATTAGTATTAACTGACAGACGAGTAAAGTAGACTATCCTCCACTAGAAAAAAAACCCTTATTTTAAATGTTATTATATTAGTTATTAACAATTTTTGGCAGTCGTGCACTTGTTACAATTGTCCCCACTTACGGGGTCAATTGTAACAGTTCATAAATTCAACTAAAACATAGTTAATTATACATATTATCATAGTTGTGATATATTTTTTTATTGATCAAAATAGTAGTGATATTTTAGGAGTAAAAATAATAATGAGCAGAGACCTAAAGGGTTAAACTTTTAACTTTAAGGGGTTAAAAATTTTAATTTATGCTGTGAAAGGTGACAAATAAAATAATGCACATGCAACATAATATAAATGATATAGGAAACTATTGGTGGTTCTTAAAGAGTTAAGTAATGGTTTGTAAACATAAGATTATTTATTTTCAGCTGTTACAATCGTCCCTTTACTTATTGTTACAATTGTCCCCAAGACGCCATTTCAGCTTCATTTGTTAAAAACAATGCTAGTTAATTAGCAAAACTAATCTTTTTTTTATTGAAATGTTAATTAAGGTGTCCACTTACATATTCGGTTACTAATTTTTATTTGTTTAAACAAAATTACTTTGTTACAATATAATATTCTAATACCAAAAAAAGTACTTGCGTGGCGTGAAAATATCTTTTGTGATGTAACTCTTTCAAAAGTACATAAAAATGGTTGCCATCAGGGGTGTACATGTAGATTTATTAAATACACCTTGTGTGCCACCTAGGAACCAAATCTAGAACCCGTCACTCGAAATTTTTGCTCTGTTACAATCGTACCCTGTTACAATTGACCTCAATCTCCCCTAGTATGATTTCAACTGACATATTGTTTGATTTCCATTATTTATTGCTAACATGCGTTGAAAACAGGCAATGCTATGTCTGATAAAAAATTTCATAAAAATATTGATAACTCTATCTCTTTTGATTTATATTATTATTGATAGAAGAAAAATTTTGAAAATTAATTTTGATATGAGTCATATCTATTCTAATGTTTAAAATCTGGATAAATCTTAAAATGTGATGTACAGATATTTGGTAAACAAATAAAAAAAATTTATAAGTCTCTTATAAATCTTTTATAAATAAATAAAAGATTTATAAATTAAAAAAAAAGATGATGCTAAGAATCTGTCATATATTGATCAGTTGTTCATACCTCCCAACTTTTACGCATTTGGCGTAAAATTTTATTTCGATATTTAAAGTGGTAGTAAAATGTATGCTTCCAATATATTCCTTGCATTTATCCAATATATTCCTATCTTTTTAACCACCACCATTCTTTAAAAAAATTAAGTATATACATTAATACTTAATAATGTTATAGTAATATGCATAAGCTGTTTAAAAATACAGCGTATATTCTGCCTAAAAATTTAATTTAAATTCCAATATACTAACACTGGAGAAAATCATTCTCGAAAGGCTTAAAAGTTGGCTGGTGTGGTTGTTATATAGCTTATATACAACTTATCAATATATGACAGATAGTAGATCAATATAGTTTAACATTTGTAGTATTTTCCACACAACACATAGCATGGGTAACATCTGCAATGACGTCCTAAAAACATAATTTGGATGCCACAGATTAAAACTTAAAGAAGTAGTTGTCAAAATTTTATCAAAGCTAGCACAAAATTCACACTATTGCTACAACTTCGATTTAAGTTGTTTTTTTTCACTACGTTTTTTTTAGAACTCAATAAATATTCGAATTATTTATATCAGTGGAATAAGGAATGCGTCATTTCTTCTAAAAACAAATGGGAAAATGAAATAATTGAACTTTTAGAAATTTTTCGAACCATTACAAAAAACTAGTAAATTTTTGAAAACTATAACAGCGCAAAATATTATATCAGTGTCAAATATTTCTACATTTTTGCTATTATTTATTAACAGTGAGAGTTTAAGAGGCCTTTACCTCGTCATCTTGGAATTAAGGTTAAATTTTTAATAAAGACCTTTTGATGATACAGTGTAGCTATAGTAGAATTTCTATAGATTTTTTTCAAACCTTTAAAGCAATAAGGTTATTTAATTTGAGATTTCGAGTAAGTCATTTAAAATAATACATTTGACTGCTTCTAGATTTTTAAAATTTAATTTTATTTACAGTTTCAACAGATTAAAACCGATTTGGTTAAGGTTAAAGAAATTCTTTTGACGTTAATTGCACAAAAGCAAATATGCTTACCAAAAAACACTTAACCCTTTGCAAACGGAGTACTATTTGTAGCCTTACATGTCTGTATGTTGTATTAGTCGCAAGCAAAAAGGTTAAATGCGCTTCAAAAATCTCATTTTTCTAAAATTCTATTTGGGTGACGACCGTTGTGTTTTACATGAAAGGAAAGATACTGCCAAATAGATTAAATATCAGTCATCAGTTTATTTGTGAAAACTGAATGAAGAGGTCCAGATTCAGATCGATGGTTACCAGATTGTAGGGAAAGATTGTATTGCGAGCAGTGCTGGCCATATTGCCACAATCATGACATGGGTTAGGAAATTGTAGAGCCTTATGCTCCATATCCCCGCTCTCTGTTATGGGAATGCTTTACTTTTTAAAGCAAGATTTTTAAAAGCATATTTAGAACTAAGCCATTCAGTTTCAAGCCCTTCGAAGTTTGAGTTAGGCCGAGAGAAAAAGAGGCCTGATCTTCAGGGTAAAAACGAGTTAAACATGCATTACATGGTTTATTATGACTTCGAATGCGTTTCAAGAAGATTAAATAAAATAATTTTTATTAAGCATTTATTATAGTTCACATCAGTTCTCAAAAAAAGTATTGCAGTGCTTTGAAAGTATCTCAATGAAACCTTTATTCTACCCATGATTTCTCATTATTTTTATTTTATAGAATGGCTATTTCTTTGCAAGTGGGAGGCGTTTCCCATGGCCATAGCCATGGAGATTCACCGAAGCATGGTCATTCTCATGAAGGATCAGGGAAAGAGAACATAAATGTTAGAGCAGCCTTCATCCATGTTATTGGAGATTTCATTCAAAGTCTTGGCGTTTTAGTAGCAGCCTTTGTTATTTTTTATAAGGTAAATAGTCTATCTTTGCAGTATTTTTTGTGTGAATATTTTAGACAAGGAATTTCTTACAGTTTGTGTTTTATTTTTTATTCTTTTTATTACCGTCGTTGAACAGTCGACGCAAACGTCTACCGATGTTTAACCCTGTAGCCTTGTAATTTTGAACCCAATCCAGAAGAAAAGGGAACTTTGAGATCAAATATTGGGAGAAATTTGTCTTTGGGGTGGACTTTTTTTAATGGGTGTAACCCGCACTTGAGTTACATGGGGAGAGAAACCACCACAAAAACATCCCATGGTTAGTCTGGTGGCAAAGGGACTTAACCCGTTAATTACTGAAGAAACTCTATGGTCGGTACGAGGAGCGGAATCCGCATTAACAGAGCTATCTCTGGAATTCGAAGCTTATTCACCTCATTTGGAGGCGACCACTCTACGCCTTGTGACTCATGTGTATTTTATCTATCATGCCTAAGTTTATATCAAATGAATTTAAATCTTTATTGATCTAAAACATATATTAAATTAATTTAAACATGATTGTGTTCAGTAATTACAATACCATGATTTGATGACTTTTTAATTGTTTTCCCTTTCCAGCCAGAATATGCTATCGTCGATCCTATCTGCACGTTCTTCTTCTCTGTTCTGGTACTTATCACTACTTTTGCAATTCTGAAAGATACGCTTAATGTTTTGATGGAAGGTACAGTCCACGATATTCTTCTGAATATTAATTGGCCTTTCAATGCATGACATTAAACTATTTTAAATGTTTCAGGAATACCCCGTGGAATGAATTTTCAGGAAGTGATGAAACTCATCTACACAATACCAGGAGTAGTTAAAGTCCACAATTTGAGGATATGGTCATTGAGTATGGACAAAACCGCTCTTTCAGCACACATTGTCATCGGTAGGACTTTTAATTTGTTTTAACTGCTATGCCGTTTATCAAAACTATGTATTTATCCCGTTCAGATCACATATATATGACGACGTTTTTTAAATATCACGAACATTTTATTGCAGTATATTCACATATTATCAATAATAATAATCTGCTAATTTTCCTTTAATTGCAGTAATGATTTCATATGAATTTTTAAATAATAGTAGGCTTAACGGAAACAATTGCGCTGTCCCGCTCGTTCATATACTCTCAGAGTGTGCGGGCCTGTGTTAGCGTTTCTTTCTTCCTTCAGGGGTCCGGAATCAGTTAAACTAATATTTGAAAACTACATAACAGATTAGATAAGAGACGCCAATTGGTAGAAAAAAACTAACTGGTAGAAATGTAACTTTTATGACGCCTTGAAGAGCTTATGGTTTAACGATTAGATTTTTACCTACTAAGTGTCAATATTAATTATTCTAGAGTCTAACCTTAAATCTGCTAATTAATCAATGTAAGTGATGTTTTAAATTACTAAAATTTCACGTTGGATTGAGATTCTTGAATTTCAAAATGAGGGGTTAGTCCAAATCTGCAAAATATGGCCAATTAGAGTTTAAGGCCAAAAATTAGAGTAGTTGTAGCTATTCGAAAAGTTATAATGAGTAGCATATTTGCATTTAAATTATGGGTATTGTTCTTAATGTTCTCTACCAATAGGTCTTGAGATGACATTGCGCTTTGACTTTAGATCCAAATCTGAATAATTATGTCGTATTGAAAAAATTATGACATGCGTAATTATTTTCCTTTTTTCCAAGTTTTTAACATCTGCATATTAACCTGCTCTTAAACGTCCACCGTTTTATAGCAATTAACGGTGGGTGGAATATTATTGTTCTTCAAGCAACATAGAGCTCTTTCTAACTCTTCATTTAGACTCCACGACCTACCGTTGCAGCTGCTAACATACTGCCTGCTCAGAATTTTTAATCAAAACATAACTGCAACTTCTAGGATTAAATAAATCTATACTGAAATTAATGCTTTTTTACTAATTCCACTAATCAACACCCTAAAGATAATTTCTTACAAGAAGTATTTGTTGAGAACAACTTTTATCATTCAAGGAAATTAATTTAATAGGTATTTAAAATAAGGGCAGCATTTTCATTTGACTTCAGATGAGAAAAAAGAAACACATGGAAAATAAAACATAGGAGAATCCCTTGAGATTTTTTTGCTTAGATTATACTCTACCCTGTTAGAAGTTTTGGAGCGTGATGAATCATTCTATCATTCAAATTTGCAGCATCCTTAATAAGATACTTAGTTATATTAATAATGTACAACTATATTAATGTACAACTTCTTGAACTTGACTACACGATACCGTCGTTCAACTTAATGGAAACATGATTCAGTTTCACACCTCATTCGAATGGAGCAAGTTTAAATTGCATTAAGATTCAAAGAACTGATATTAAGGTAAAACAGTGAACCGTTTTTTTTCTAAGAAAATCAAAGTAAAGGAAGATATAAAGTGAAAATACAGTGGATAACTTATTGGTTTTAAACTAAAAATTTCTGAAACAAAAGGCAATAGAGGAATGAAACAAGCGATATGTCTATTGTGAAAGCTGCAAAAATTTAGGAATCTAAAAAAAAAAGTTACAAGTTGCCAAGAAAGTTTAAGCAGGTAAAAGTTACCAACAGATGACGCTTTACTATATGCAAAGATACTGAAAAGACCTCTGAAATCAGTGTCTTAAAGGTCGGGGAAAATCAATTGGAGTTTGTAAACTAACCTATGATATTCCATAACCGGAAACTCACGTTTTTTAATAGAATATCTGGCTCAAACCACTTAATTCCTTACAACTTCCTGCCAAGTTTTAACGCTAGAACTAATCGTGCGGGTCATCACTTGCTTTCAGTGCCATCTGTTTGTAATTTTTGTAACTATATCCCCAAATTTCTGTATGAAATTTTAACAGTTTTCACAATAAACATACCGATTGTTTCATTCCCTTATCGCCCTTTGTTTCCGATATTTTCAACCGTAAAATTAGTAAGTAATCCACTGGACACCCTGTATACTGTCAATAAGGAAACGTCTGAGCTACTATAAGACTTTTTTTTTTAAAAAAAGATAAATGAGTAAACGATCCATCCCGATCAAAATTTCTTTACATTCGATGTATTTTTCATTTTAGCTAAAGATGAGGATCCCATATCTGTCTTAAAGAAAACATCAAGTATTATAAGAAAAGAGTTAGGAGTGTTCGATTTGACTTTGCAGGTGGAAGAATATCGAGATGACATGGTAAACTGCAATCAGTGTCAAGAACCGAAAGATTGAAAATGAAACCATTTTTATTGTACAGTTTTCAGTTCGAGGAGTGAGCTATGTTTTGTTTGGTTTGGTTTAAGTTTTGAAGATTAATATTGTTCGTAACATTGTTAATATTTTTTAAAAGGTACCATTCTGCCAAACTTTGTTTTAAAGTGTACCATATTGAGTTTATATGGAGATGCGTATTTTTAGCATAAAGTTATTTATATAATAAAATAGTTTTCTAGTTTTCTTATTTTCTTTATTTAATTTGGGTTATAATAGTATTTTTTAAAAAAAAATACTACAACTCTTTTTTAATATCTCGCTCGATATAACGATCCTTCTGAGCCGAAATGTATGTATTAACTTGAGTTCGTTATAATGAAAGTGCACAAAATACAGTAAATATTAACTCCTAACCTTTACGGTGCAGTTTAGCCAGTCTGTCAACACTAATTCAACAAATGTTACAAGCCATTAGAAAAGTAACAATTACATTTTAACTTTTAGCAACCACTATACTTCAAACAGCAAAGAGCTAAAATATGTCGTACGTAATTTAAAAAGCACTGTCTATTATCTCACTTGCTAATGTGATATCTGACAAAAATTTTCAATCGAAATTTTCTATATCGGTAAAGGTTAAAAATTACTTGACTAATTTAAAGCAATGCTCAAAACACTCACAGAAATGCTTTATTTTTATAAAAAGAAAATTGACAAGTAGCAGAAAAATTAGTAACAATGCAGCTTTTTTTTCAATATTAATAAATACGTAGAAGAGCCTTTTAAAATAATACTTCGCAAGTGAAAAATTCATTAAAAACAATATCCTGGTTCGATAAATAACATACTTCAAGGCAACTACATTAACCACTTTCAATTCTCAAATTTACGTTAGAAAGTTTCTAAAGCTTAGAAATTTAATATCTTAATCTATAAAATCACTGTGATCATGCAAGCGGGTTTTTAACTTCTTACAAAATTAAAAATAAATCTGCTTACTTTAACACTAAATTTATTCTAAAATTTGCCTGTAGGGTGGAGCAAAGTTGACAATTTTGTCTCAGCTCAGTTTTTTAATTCTTGGTTTCGATTTTTAGTTAGTATTCTTGCATTAATTTATTAAAAAGTTCACTTTCGAAAAGTAGTATTAACATATAATTCTTTTTGTCAGAGATATGTAAGCGATTAAAAATATCTAACTTTATAATAGTATATTTATCATTCTATATTTAAAAAATAAATAAAATCCAGGTGTTTCTGATGTTCTAATTAACATTGCATTTAGTTTTGTTATAAAAAAAATCACGAGACCTTAAAACTTGAAATTACGAATGTGCATCGAAAATTGTACAGGGACTACGATGAAATGTAGAAATTTAATATTCAATAATTAGGTCAAAATTGTATATGTATTCACAGCAATTCCCAGCAGTTGTAGCAATAAGGGTAAAAAAGATTTCCTTAGTTTATTCATTGGCGGGAAAATAATAGTTTGATTTAATTGACTACTTTTTAATTCAAAATAAAAATATATGCTTACACTTTGAATTAACCTAATCAGAAAATGAATCCAATTTGCAAAAGCAAAAAAGAGACAAAGAAGTAAATTAACTATTAAAACATTAAATCAAAATGGAAAAACGCCTAAAGCAGGGGCACTGTCAGTTTTGGTTTTTCCACTGACAACAGAAAGGTTCCTGTGTGTTTGTAGACAGTGTGTCCCCTGAAGAAGTTCTGTCTTGCAAACACACATATATTCTATTTTATTACTTTAATGTTTGTTTGAATATCTAAACCTAACCTAACATCTAAAATTAACCTAAGGTGATAAAATCACCAATGAGTAAATTATTAAAAACAGCATCAAATATTATTCTGACCATGAAAAGGCAGATATTTTTGCTGATACTATAGAGCAGCCATTCACACCAAACTTGGATGCATTCATCAAACAAATTGTCAAAGAATATAATAATCTGAAAAAAAGAATTCAACAAAGTTTTTAACATCATATCAACCAATGCTGATAAAGTAAAGTCGATTATAAAGAAGCATAAAAACAAAAAGCCCCATGGGTAGACAATATCAGCAATTCTAAAAAATTTACAGCCTTGTTATATTAACCTGTTTACAAAATTTTTCTATTAATTTATTGATCACATTTATTTTCCTTGAACTTGGAAACGAGCAGCTGTGATACTAGTACCGAAATCAGGCAAGAACCTTTCGGAGCCAATAAACTTCAGGCCCATCAGTCAACTTCCCTCCATAAGCAATATACAAATATGAGAAAACCATTCTCAGCAGAATAAAGCCACACCTGGATATTTCCAAGCAAACAACATGGGTATAGAGAAAACCTATCGATGGTGAATCAACGTGTTAGACTTTTGTTTTTTGTCTGTAGTGATTTTTTTTAATCATAAACAAACTTCAGCTGTTCTCATGCTCGACGCCTCAGGGGCTTGTTTGGCATTAAGGCCTCATTTTCAAATTAACTCAAACTAATTAATTATTCAACCAAACTATAGATACTTGGCAGTTTCTAAACGTGTACCTTACTGACAGAACTTTCCATAGTAAATTAAATTCTGCCAAGTCATCGAAAAAAAATAATATTTACTCACGGATGCCTCAAGATCGTGTCCAGGGACCCATTCTTTACATTTTTCAGCTTCGGATTTTTCGAAGAAAAAAGACTATATCAACCACCTCACTGCATTCTACCTCAGATGATACTACAGTAGTCCAAAAATCTCTGAATTTTGATATGACTCTTGCAAAACTCAAGAATTTGCATTCGAAATTGAAGAAAGGTGCATTAATTGGCGTGTTGCTATAAACGCAGAAAAGAGCAATCGTTTTTTATTAAAAACTATAGGACAAGAGCAAAGTTCACTAAATACATTACCATCTTTAACACTGTCAGAGACTAAGTACCTATAGTAGTCTTACAAGGGATGACCATGTTAATGATGTTATTTCAAAAACATGGGGTGCAGTCAGACCTCTGATTGATAAATATTCAAAAACTCGAAATTTCAAGAAATTGCTTAATATTCAAGTAATGCGTCCAATTTTTTCTTATGCTTCTTCTTGTTGTCAACAAAATTGAACCATCCTCAACAAAATTGATGTCATTCAAAATAGAGTCCTCAGATTTATTACAGACCTGATTGTGATTATCTTATTGTGTGAGAAATCAAACAATTGGAGACGATCTCAAACAAACTACTCTTTTAGTTAATAGACTAAAAGAATATTACTTTAGTTTTTAGACTATTGTTAATTTCAATACAAATTTCAACAGTAAGACATAAAAATGTGGCAAAGCTAAATTTAAACATTAACACAAGAAAGACTGAAACTTAGTATATACCTATATTGCCCAAAAGCAGTCAAAATGACAGGTTGTAAAAGAATAAATAATGTGTAAAGAAATTTGTTTAAAATTAATTTTCAATATTTTTTGCGTTATTTACAGTTATATAACAAGTTAATAGTAAATATTAACAATAAAAAATTATATATTGTACAAAATTTTGAAAAATTGTGTCATTATATACATCATTGTTTTTCTAATTGAAATTAAAAGCAGTCAAAATGACTTCCTTAGGCAGTCTAGTGTTAAAAACGTTAAAATCAAAACATGAAGAATACAAAAAATGAATTAATCATCAACATCCAATAGCCCAGTTAATTACACGTCACAGTGTCATTATAATATCTCACTTGTCTAATCTCATGATCATAACATACATTTTTATCATGAATTCATACAATATTTTCAATTTTTCGAAGGTAAACTGATGATATTTTTTTCCGTGGTGCGAATTTATTGCTACAAATACAATATATTGGCGAATTATTTTCTTTATGTTTTATTACAGTTTTATCACTTATTCTAGTATTTCGTCTGCAACATCCCTTATGTTGGATAGATTTCTCATGGTTAAATGTTAGAAATGCGAGAAAATAACCAGAGACTAGAATAGCAAAAGCTCCACACAAATCATACAAAGTCAATTTTTTTATTTCATCATGCTCAATTTCAATCTTTGGCGAGGATCTGCGTAAAATGGACTGCCTATAGTAATAGTCATTTACCAACTTATGGTAAATACCACCTGCTGTAATACGGAGAACAAACTTTTCCAGCATTTTCCGACAACAGAAGTTTTTATTAGAATATATTGCTACATATGAAGAAAAAAGCGGCTCATCTGATACTAATACTTGACCTAATAGGTGATGTTTGAATATAAAACTTGGAACAACAACTACATCTCTATTTGTTAGAATAGCTTTTTTCAAACTTGATAATGTATAGTCTATCTCCCAGTTATGGGATTGGATTTGTTCACCAATAACTTTAATTTTCCGATCACCACTAGATGACAATATTTTTCCGTGTCCTGATCCCTTAAATACCATGCACTTGCACGCTTTTTTCGTAACAGCTTTATATAGTCTGGGAATGGAATTGATTGGTTGTTCTTGAACTGGCACCATCAAAAAAGAAAGCAGCAATGATGTATAGTATAATGCCACCCAAAATGCACAGATGCGCCAGGAGGCGTCTATTATTCTCTCTTTGAATCTAGCACTAACAGGTATGCTGCCAGGCTGCTGCAATAATTGGGACACAACGTTAAAAAGTAGCTCAGCGTATGTATATTTTTTCCCATATAAGTAGTACAAACACATAGGATAAACAAGCAGGAATAGCAGTAAAAGTAGCCAAGTTGTAATTTCAAAAGGTTTGGAGAGAACTTGAAATTTGGGAACTTCCGCTGGTAGTTTAGTGAGAAAATGTAAACTCCCAAAATCATACGGAAACGCAAAGCCGGAGTTAAAATAAGATTCAATCATTGCTAATCTTCCGATGGCAATATCGGCGTTGGAATTGAAAAGATTGACGGGTATTTCCGAGAAATTTATTTCAACGAACTCCGGTTTAAAATTCAGTTTTTCAATAAGCAGTTCGAGAAATCCGGCTTCCGATCCACCACTAATAGAAATGCCATTTGTGCGGTTGACTTCGAGAACTTCCGAAAAGACACCTATGGAGATTCTTACAGAACTTGGGGACACCATGGTTTCTTCTAGATTATTTGTTTAACCCCAAAAAGAAATCCTCTAAGCACCATCACATAAATTACAGTAGCATCAAAATACTTGCGTTGACAGTGACAATTTACAAGAAACAAAGAAGGAAAATAGAACAGGGGGGAAAATAGGTT